ATAATTTTGAAAAATGGCAGACATTTATCTGCTGACTTCGATATGAACCGATGCAGAGCTGCCACCCTCCCAGTCAACCTTTGTATATCCTTCACTGATTTCGGCGGTTCCATCTCGGCAATTGCTCTAATCTTCTCTGGATTGACCTCAATTCCCCTTCAGGACACCATGAAACCTAGAAATTTTCCAAACTCCACTCCGAAGATGCATTTGGCTGGGTTTAGCCGCATCCTGTTCTTTCTAAGGTTGTTAAAGGTTTCGTCGAGGTCGGCGAGATGGTCTTCTGCTTTTAAGCTCTTTACCACAATGTCGTCGACATATACCTCCAGGTTCTTGCCAATCTAAGTGTGGAAGACAATGGTTACCATTTTCTGATAAGTAGCACCTGCATTCTTCAAGCCAAACGGCATCATGACGTAACAATAAATTTCATCGCCAGCATAGAACGCGGTTTTCTCTTCGTCTTCTGGAGCCATTGGCACCTGGTGATACCCCGAATATGCGTCCAAGAGGCTTAACCTCTCATTGCCTGAAGCCGCTTCAACTAGTTTGTCAATGCTCGGCATTGGATAGCAATCCTTAGGGTAGGCGTTATTAAGATTTGTGTAATCAATACACATTCGCCATTTGCCATTTGCCTTCTTCACCAGAACTGGGTTAGCTACCCATTCACAGTAATCGACTTTCCTGACAAAACCAGCCTGCAAGAGCTTCATTACCTCTTCTTTAATAGCCTGAAGCCTTTCACCCCCGAAGAGACGCCGCTTCTGGGCCACTGGTTTTTTCAATGGATTGGTGCTGAGCTTATGTTGAGAGACTGAATTTGGAATTCCTGGCATATCTGCTGAAGTCTATGCGAATACATCATTATTAGCTCGAAGAAAAGCTATGAGCTCTGCTTTTTCCTCTGGGTTCAATCTAGTTCCGATCTGCGTCTTTCGGCTCGGATCTCTGTCATCAATAAGTACTTCTTCAACATCTTCGACCGGAGCAGCTCTGGTTTCATTTTCCGGTCGATTATCTACGATCTCAACACCCATAACTTGCTGATTATCAGAAATTTGCTGGGGAATGGCTTCAGGTGTCTGAGTTTTGCCCTTCATGGGTTGTGTTACCGAGGTGATATAACAATGCCTGGCCACCTCCTGGTTTCCTCACAGTGTTGCTATTCCCATGGGAGTTGGGAACTTCGTACAGAGGTGAGATTGGGAAACCACAGCTCGGATTTCAGTCAGTGTGGGTCGGCCAATAACAATGTTGAAGGAGGACGCCATCTTAACTACAAGGAACCGGACCGACGGGGTCACATAGGTTCTACCCCTCCCAAAAGCCACATGGAGGGTAAGAACTCCTTCCACCGGAACAGGTTGGTTATTGAAACCATAGATAGGACCATCATACTTCTGCAACAATGCTGGATCTAGTCCCAGACTCTCGAAACAGTGGAAGTACATGATGTCTTGTGCACTCCCGGTGTCAACAAGGACACGTTGTACTTCACAGTTGTTAATCATAACAGAAGTGACCAAAGGATCATTGTGAGGTGTAACAACTGTATCGAGATCAGCAGATGTGAAAGTAATTGGTTGATTCTTCCATTCAGCATCGTTAATCTTCCGCTTCTGAGCTCGGTTTTGATGTTTAACCTCCCTAACATACAGCTTTCGCTGCTTAGAGCTCAGTCCACCTGCTTCAAGGCCTCCCGTAATCATATGTATGATTCTAGCTGGTGGTGGGAGTGGAGGTGGGGTTTGTTGATATCCCACACCTTGCCTATTTGGGGGATTGCGGGCTCCTTGAGGCTGCGGCCTCTGTTCTCTAACAAACCTCGGCTGTTCAGCTCGCTGTACATACTCATTCAGCATTCCCTTCTGAGCTAAACTTTCCAGTTCGGACTTTAAACTGTTACACTGCTCTGTAGTATGGCCGTGATCCTGGTGAAAATCACAATATCTGGTATGGTCTCGACTAGCAGTAGCAGTTCGCATTGGGCCATGACGTCTCAAGTCCATCTTATTTTTGATCTGCATAAAAATTTGTGACCTCGGCAAATTAAATGGAGTCCAATTAACTGGAGGTTTACTTGCAGATTGTTGTGGGGGCGTGGAGTTCAGCCTTCCGAATCTCGGTGGGGAGGTCAACACTGGACCTCGGTTCTGCGCCATTCTCATCCTTTTTCGGCTCGGGTTGTCATCTCTCCATTCTCGGTTCTGGTTCTTAGAGGAAGGTGGATTTTGCGCTAGGGCGTATTCCTCAGCAGTTATGAATTTCAGAGATCTATCGTTCACCTCGCTAAAGCTGGTGGCAGCATGTTTGATCAAACTGTCTCTGAACCTATCATGCTTGAGACCAGAGATTACAGCTGCAATACCCACAGCTTGGTCGAAGGAACTAACCTCCAACACCGCATCATTAAACCTGCTCATGTAGTTCTTCAGAGACTCTCCGTCCCTCTGTTTAACTCGCATCAATTCAGTAGTAGTTTTCCTAATCAACCTTCTACTGGAAAACTTAGTGGCAAAGGCAGATG